GATTCATAGACAGAATTGCATAGGTTATTACACACTAGTTATTGAGAAGGCAAACTCCTCAATTACGAGCCCTATAATTGTTGCGCCTAGGTGAGTTATGTGATAGAGGGAGTGGGAATTCAGAATTACTCATACACTTGATAATGGCCTAAGTGAGTGATGAACAGTGTTTAAAGGGCGTCATTACCAGTTATTAAGGCGAGCAGTGGCGTCCTATAGGCAGGATTTCTAACGATTAACAATTGAGGAGTCTGATTTTAATGTTAGACCTTATAGGCAGATTTCTCTAGGTAAAATATGCAATACCATAACAAATGATATGATTAGAGTCCTATAGGCACGATCCCTAGTAATGCAAATTAACAGAAAATTCAACAATATTTCCTACGGGCAGGTTCTCTAATCAACATATAGCTACAAAGATATTGAGACATTTGAGTTCTGGCTTTACTAATAAACAAGTAGTGCAAGTGTGTGTGTTTCCCTAATGGCACGATTTCTACAGTGTACATAGAGAATGAACAACATAAGGCAAAGTATAATTCAATCCTATAGATATATTTTCTACCCATCATACGTTAATATTAGAATCTACCCCATCCCCATTTACTAACACCCCAATCCTTTATACAAAGATTATTATTACAGACCCAAATTAATAATAAAGTAGTAATATTACATGGCAATAGGCAGCCCTATAGCAGGCCCAAATAGAATAACTAAATACTTAGCCTTACTAGGCCTTCAAAACTTCTGGCATAGCAGACTTAGACCTTCAACAAAGAACCACATGATCACAGGTCCATAGGGGAGTTCAGACCCCTTTCAATGAGCCATAACACCAAATATCGCATCACTTAGAGCAACAAACATAGAATACAGTACATGATAGGGAAGTATGGCATTAGGGATAGTTTGGAGGTTAAGAGGAGTGACTAGGGCCGAGCCCCTAGTGCGTTAGAGTTCACAAGGTCCTCAATTGGACCCTGAGTAGTGCTCGCACTAGGGAGGCCAACAGAGAACCTAGGTAGCCTTGGCTTTTAGCCGGCTAAGAATAGGAATTCAGAATACCAAAGCAACAAGTAAAGAGAGTGGACAAAAATTTCCAGAGTGATCATATAGCATAACTGGTCATGTAGACCAGCAAAATTCAGCAAAGTTCAATAGCAAAGCATCACATAGACAAGCATCATAGGAAAAGAAAAACAAGTTTGTAAACATACCTAGATTGCACTAGTTGACATTTAAGGGCCTAAATTAAGTCAAGTCTAACCTAAGGCCATATAAATACTTGGACATAATAGAGGTATACATATATTGATTATCACAAAAAGGAGAAAGTAGCAAGTAAACCAAGGCATACTGAAAAAGCATGTTGACCTAGGAGCAAGGTCCTAGTCAGTTGAAATAGAATGTTTGCCTTTAGAAAATCAGGGTAGCAAGATACAAGTTTAAAACAAATATTTGGGCAGTATTACAAAAAGTACTCCAACATACACAAGACTTAGTAAAAGTTCATTCAAGTAAAAGTTAGGGCATTATCTAAATATAATAGGCAGAAACAATATACAACCACAATATTGAAGTTCAAAATTAACATGTAAAGATGTTACAGGGTGCAGAACTAGTCTTAGGAGATAGGGAATTACAGAATGCAAATCATAGTGAGTCATGACATGAACAGTACACTACTCTCATGCGTCAATTAACACAGAATGACATCAAGTTGAACACCATCATAGTTGAACCAAAATTCAGATACATGTGTAGAAAGAAGGGAAGAAAGTAAATATTATGAGGGTTTAAATACTAACCAGTAGCAGAATTAAAAAAGTGCAGAGTATAGTAGCAAAAACCCAAAATTCCCGATGCTTCAGAGTTCGCAAGAGCCTCGAAAATGAGCTTCGAGCAGTGCTTGCACCAGAGGAGGCTCAACAGCCAGAATTAAAAGAAAGTTGGGGCGGGTCGTGTAAAGTGGGTACCGACCGGATTGGGGTTAGTGGGTTAGCTGTGTTGGGCTTGGGGTAATTGGGCTAAGGTCTCGGTAGTTTTAGGTCCGAAAATTGGCTTGTTTTGGGCCAGCTATTAAATACACAATAATTATTTTAAAAATAATTTATAAAATAACTAATAGATAATAAAATGCTACTTGTGAAATAATATGACTGAAAATAATAACTCAATATTATAAAAATATAAAAATGATACTTCGGCATAAATAACATAATAAACGCAATTATTTGTAGAATATAGGCCATTATTGCAAAATTAGATAAATAGCTTAAAAATGCTAATGCAATTATAAAAAATAGAATAGAAATGTTTGAAACATTTATTATGGGTGAAAATAATAATTTTGGGTAATTAGGTCATCACAAAATAATTTAAAGGATAATTACTGATATTTATATAATAAAAATATAAGAAAATTAATTTAAAGCTCTAAAAATTATGAAAATATGCTTGTATAGGTTTGTAAACTAAATGATGATGAAAATATGCTATTTTGAAAGTATATATATATTTTTAAAAATATGAGAGAAAAATTGGGTATCAACAGCAGGTTCTTCTCCCATACGCATGAGCTTCCACTGATAGCTAAGCTGCTGAGCTGCCTGTAAGAAATATTGGTCATCGGTCCACATAAGTGCTTCATTCATTGTTATAAGCGCCAAACCTATTCAAATAGCTTTAATGAAAACTTACATCTGCTTCTCTGGCTATGGCGAGAGGGAGACGGTGAGTCAGCGAGAGGGAGAGGCTTGTCGACGAGAGGGACATACGAGACGGCGAGAGGGAGAGGCAAGAGGGCTGGCTTCTGGGTTTCTAACGGAAAGTAAGAATAGGGTTTCTAGTCTAATAGAGTAATACAATGGCAGTGGTCAGTGGAAGTGGAATTGTGGAATGTGGAAGGTATTTTTATTACTTTAAGATACATAGTAACATATGGATAAATATATATATAATGGGTTAATGGATTATCCGTTAAGAAAATTGAATAATCCGCCCCCGAACCAATAAGTTGTTAATAAAAAAAAATTAATATGTTCCCCATCCGTTAAATTATTAACCCGATACCAATAAGCCATTAAGCCACTTTTGCGGTTTGATTTTCGGTTTCAGTTCGGTTTTGAACACCCCTAGATGAGAGAGAGAGCTACAAATATTCGAGAGATGGAAAATGTATTGTATATTCTCATTATTGGAAGAAGGTTCCAGATAAGTACATATATATAGAGACACATGTGTGTCTCACCTCATGCCATAGTATTAGTTACAACTAATCACTACTAATACATAAATACATATAGTTCAATACCCATCACCCCTCAAGTTGGAGGTGCGGACTGCACTGGCAACTTGCTGAGAACCCCACAATGTTTAACTTCAGTCAAGGCTTTGGTGAGGATGTCTGCCTATTGAGCATGGGTAGGAACATGAGTCAAATTGATCAATCTTTCTTGAAGTTTGGCTCGTACAAAATGACAATCCACCAATGTGCATGGTCCGTTCATGAAAAATATTATTTTTAGCTATATGGAGAGCTGATTGGCTATCACAAAAGACAGTGACAGGCTTTGGAAATGGAACAGCTAGCTCCTCCAGCGATTTGCACAACCAAGTGAGTTCACCAACAACTTTTCGGAGAGATCTATTGCCCCAGCTAAGGAAAGGGAGACAGTTTCTTGTTTCATGGATTTCCAATTTATGGGGATATCTCCCAAGAGAACTATGTAGCCACTAACTAACCTTTTGGAGTCTGGATAAGCAACCCAGTCGGAGTCACGATATGCCTGGATAGTACAGTTTGGATCATTAGAGAAGAAGATCCCCAGTGTTTGATCACTTCTCAAATATGGTAACAAGTGAAAAAACATCCTTAAGATGAGTTTCCCTGGGGTCCTGCATAAATTGGCTAAGGTGTTGGATTCCATAAGCAATGTGAAACCTGGTATTAGTAAGGAAGTTCAGCTATCCAACAAGCTTCCTATAATATGTAGGGTCATTCAAGACAGCACCAACCTTAACCTGCAACTTAACTGAGGGATCATGGGGGATGACAGTCCACTGTAGGACATACAGTCATATTCTTTGAGTAGATCAATAGCAAATTTTCTTTGTGAGATGAGAACCCCATCAGTTTTATAAAGAACCTTTAAGCCTAGAAAATAGTGTAATTTGCCCAGATCTTTGATTTTGAAAGTGTTATGTAGGAAGCTTTTCAACTGATTGACCTTTTCCATGTCTGTCCCTATGATAAGCACATCATCAACATAGACTTGCAAAATAAGGAATAATCATGGAGGGAATGCACATAGTCTCTGGAGTATAATGCCTCAGCTAGCTTGGCATACCATTGCCTACTAACTTGCTTCAACCCATAGAGAGATTTGTTCAGTCTACAAACAACACCTGGGGTGGGAACCTCAAGGCCTGGGGGAATTTCCATGTAGACTTCCTCATGCAAGTCCCCATAGAGTAACGTTATTGATATCAAGTTGAGAAATGATCCACTTCCTCTTTACTGTAGTGGCAATGAGATCCCTAACTGTATTTAACTTCACAACATGTGAGAAAGTTTCAGAATAGTCCACACCAGCATGTTGTGTGTACCCCTTGACTACTAGTCTTGATTTGAACCTTTAAATGCTCCCATATACTTTGTTTTCCACCTTGTAAAACCACCTACAACCAATGGCCTTCTTTCCTAGAGGTAATGGAACCAAATCCCAGGTATGATTGACATGCAGGGCCTCAAACTCTTAAGCCATAGCAGCCTGCCAAAGTGGGTTAAGTGTTGCCTCCTCATATGAGCATGGCTCATTAATATTGCATACATTCATCACAAATAAATGACTAACATAAACTAGGGATTCAGGTGGAATATAATGGTGCAAAGAAAATAAAGCAACAAGAGAGGAGGATGAGGTAGCAGGAATGTCTGAGCTTAACTTGGGAATGGAGCAAACATAGTCTTGTAAGTGAGAAGACAGGTGATATTATCTCTGAGATCTCCTAAGTGTAGGTGTATGCTCAGGTGGTGGAGATACAGATGGAGAAGCAGGGGAGGATTGTAATTCAGGAGAGTGAGAAGGAAAAGATTCAAGATGAGCAACATGTGGAGTATTGGTGGTGTCAAAAGAATCAAGGAAAGGAGCAGAGGATGGAAAAGGAGCAACATGTGATTGTGGACTAGCAAATGGGAAGACAGTTTCATAGAAAACAACATCTCTGGAAACATGAATTTTGTGAGTGGTGAGATTCAATACTTTATATCCTTTGCTATTAAAAGATTATCCAACAAAAACATGGGGAACACTCCTAGGTCCAAGTTTATCTCTATGTACTTTAGGCACGGTGGGAAAGCATAAGCAGAAAGGATCTTAGATGTAATTACGATGATTTCTTATTGTATAAAAGTTCAAAAAGACACTTGTTTTTTTAGCAGTACAGTGGGCAGCCTGTTTATAAGATAGGTTGCAGTAAGGATACATTCTCCCCGGAACTTCAAATGCAATTTTGATCGAAAAATCAGGGCCCTAGCAGTCTCAAGAAGGTACTTGTATTTTCTTTCTACCACCCCATTTTGTTGTGGGGTGTAAGGATAAGTTTTTTGATGAAGTATACCTTTAGATTGAAAAATATAGTAGCTTCTATGCAAATGAATTCCAGTCCATTATCATACCTTACAGACTGAATGGACTTCTGAAATTGTGTTTCAATTTGAGATACAAAGGTTTGGATGATTTGGAGTGCAATGCTCTTGCAACTTAGTAGGTGAGTCCATATGGCTCTATTATAGTCATCCACCATAGTGAGGAAGTATTTCTGATTTCTATTGGTTGGGACATGATAAGGACCCTACAGATCCACATGTAAGAGATAAAATGGCTTGGTGGAAGTGCTGGATCTTAGAGGAAAGGGCAATCTAGATTGCCTGTCCATGGGACAAATGGGCAAAGGAAAGATTGCTTAGAAGAAAAGGTGACTGTTATAGTAGAAATGCTTTTCATCTTAACAAAAGGGACATGCCCAAGTCTGTTATGCCACAACATATCTACATTATTATCATGAGGTATAGAAGAGCATTGACAAAAATCATAAAAATGCAAAGCAGTAGACTGTGTCTTATTATCAGCGAAACTATTTACAGGTGAAAGAGATTGACATTGTGGAGTATTTACATCACAATGAGGAAGTAGAGTAGAGGTAACAGAAACATTAGAAATTGAGCTACCATTATCCAAGAAGTGAGAACATGGGAGATACAGACCACCTTTGATCTTACCAATCACCAAAGGTATCTTTATTGAAGGGGCCTGCAGTAGACATGAAGAAGCAGTAAAGGCAATAAGAGAGTTTAGATATGCAGTCATAGAGGAGATAGAAATGAGGTTGAACTTGAAAGCAATGACAAAGAGAACTTTATGCAAGGTGATTTGAGATGTAAGTGCAACACCACCAACTTTTGTCACTTTGACCTTATAACCGTTTGGAAGTGCAACTAACAGAGGATAGTACAAAGGTTTAGTTTCAAGGAAAAGAGATCTATTATATGTCATGTGGTGTGAGGCATAAGGCTGTCCAACGGGATGGGTTGTCCCGTCCCATCCTGGTCCCGTCCTGGTCCCGATCTCGTCCCGTCTCGTTTATCTCATATTAAACGGTACACGAGATGGGACGGGATGACCATTTCGTCCCGTTTATCCCGTCCCGTCCCGTCCCATCCCGTTTGTCCCGCTTGTTATTTAAAATTTCATTTTCTTTTTGAAATAGAGTCGTTGGCCAACTGCTATAAATGGCTATTAGTGCTTAATTTTTGTATTTATTTTACGTGTTCTATTTTTGTATTTCATTTATGTGTTTAATTTTTATGTTAACTTTTTTAATTTAATTTCGTATTTAAATTATGACTCCTAAAAATATATTTATCATGTTTAAAAAAAGTAGTAAAGGTGATAGTAGTAGTAATTCTAATCCTAGTCCCAATCCTAATCCTTCTCCCAGAATTAGAAAACATATAGATGAAATGACTCATGTTGATGAAACTTCATTTTTTCAACCCCCGCATGTTATAATATTAATTTCGGAGAACAACTAGATCATGAAACTTTACAAAGACAATTTGGCTTGAAATTATATTAAATAAATTACAAATCTATTACAATTACTAAAATATTTCATTACAAGTCTTTTTTTTAAATATTTTATAAATCTTTACTTAGTTTCTTTATAATTTATTAAGTTTTTAGTTTATTAAATAAGTCAAAAAACTAGCCGTTGCAAACTTTAAAAACTTAGTCATTGTCAAAAAACTAGCCGTTGCCAAACTTAATGCTTAAATAATTAATTTTTTTAAAACAAAAAGGCCCACTTAAGGCCTGTGAATCGTCCCGTCCCATCTCGTTTTTTAGCGGGATAGGATGGGCCTACCGTTTCATCCCTTTTAGGTCCGTCTCGATACCGTCCCGCCTAAATATCATCCTGTCCCATTTATTTGATCTCGTCTCGTCCCGTACCGTTAGACAGCCTTAGTGAGGCACTAGAATCCATTATCCATGTGTCAAACATAGTTCTGAAACATTTACAATGAGAACTTCCATGACTAACAGAAGAGGAGCAGACCATAATACCTACAAAATTGACTGCTCCGCTGCTTAGGTGAGTGTCAGCAAAGTCCTCTCCATTGGTACTTTGAAGGTGCTGAAGCAGGTTTACTAACTGACCATATTGGTCCTTTGTGATTCCAATAGTTGCCACATTGTGCTGCTTGTCCTGTGAGCTTGAACCATCTTCCTTAACAAACAACTCCTCAGTGGGTGCGCCATGTGCATTAGCCATGATATGTTTCCCTTTGATATTAATTCTAGGACCCTGAGTGTAGTTCTGTGGATAGTCGTGTAGTTTGTAACATCTATCTCTAGTGTGTCCTGTGATTTTGCAATAATCACAAAAAGAGCGTGAAGTTCTGCCTCCAATGGACTGGATATTTGCACGATAGTTTGTTCTGAAGTTAGCATTCCCTTGAGTGTTAGAAATGGTATTTCCTTGTGCATTCATGTGAAGAGAAGTCGACTCAAAAACCAGTTGATTGGAGGGTCGCATCTCTCTCTGTTTCTCATCGTAAATGAGTAAGGAAAAGGCTTGTGCTAATGAAGGAAGATGAATCATTAAAATGCTTCCACGCACTACTGTATACATCTCGTTTATTCCCATAAGAAATTGGATCAAGTGCCTATCCTGCTCTGCCTTGTATAATTTTTCCTTGGCACCACAATTATACTGGCAATTGCACTGTGCTTTCATACTCATATTACTCAATTCTTCCCAAAGTTTCTTCATTTTGGTGTAGTAGTTCGTGATATCGAGAGCTCCCTGAGTCAGATCATTTATTTCTTTCTGGATCTGATACAGTCTAGCAGCATTAGTTTGCTCGTAATAATCTTTCAATTCTATCCATAATTCAATAGCATCATTTGCATACTCAATACTATCCGCGATGTCCTTCGAAAGGGAATTAAGGATCTGTGAGGTAACCATATCGTCACATCGCACCCACTGGCGATAATCGATAGACTGAGAATTCAGTCGTTTGCACTCCCCACTAATAAAACCAAGCTTAATCCTAACGGATAAGGATTGCATAACACCATGCCGCCATGATCAATATCCAATTCTATTGAAAGGGGAAGAAACCAGCATAGCCCCAGGGTTATCAGAAGGATGAAGGCAAAGAGGGTTGTTAATGTCAACACTGGTGTTAGCAACTCCACCGGCCGCCGCAACTGCACTTGCATGTGTGTTGACATCAGTCGGATCATTTTGATTGAGAATATCCATCTAAAAACAAGGAGATGAAATTGAATGAGAGAATGTAAAACGGAAGTGAAATCGAACGAGAGGATGTGGACAATTGAGGGCAAATCGCTGACTTGTGAGATATTTATTCGAAATTAGGGCAAATCGAAATTATCGAATGAAATTAGGGCAAAGACGAAAAAGTAAATATGAAAATCGGGAATGTCGGGGATTTCAAGCTCCCGGGCTCTGATACCATGTCAAGATGATGAAAGCTCAAGGTGAGCAATAATAGAGATCTGTGATGAGCTCCATGAGCACAGATGAGAGAGAGAGAGCTACAAATATTTGAGAGATGGAAAATGTACTATATATTCTCATTATTGGAAGAAGGTTCCAGATATGTACATGTATATATAGACACGCGTGTGTCTCACCTCATGCCACACTATTAGTTACAACTAATTACTAAAAAGGTTCCAGATATGTACATGTATATATAGACACGCGTGTGTCTCACCTCATGCCACACTATTAGTTACAACTAATTACTACTAATACATAAATACATATAGTTCAATAGTAAGTATGTATTATCCCAATTATTAACTTATGAAATTACCCAAAATGTGTTGGAAACTTCACATGCACATAAGATGAAATCCTTTTCTACGAGTTTTCTAATGAGTTACGACATTCACATCATGCATTTCCACCATTTTCTCCTTTGAAATATTTTCTCTCAGTTGTTTGTGTTTCTTACGAAAAATTTCTTCTCCAATTTCATCTTTTCTATATTTAAAAGCCGAACTTTTCTTTATGAGGTTTGCAAGTTAAGTCCATTGATATTAAGGGTACAAATAGTATGAGTTGGCCGGTTTTTATATTGGTAATTGAAAAATAACCAGCATTTGTAAAGTTATTTAAAAATAGTCACTATTTTATGCAGAGATAAAATCTAGACAAAAATACTCTAGCTGAAACACGAAAAGTTTCAGTATAATATGTTAGATTATGAAGCTCATGCATTTAAACTTGCAACATATTATGTTGGAACTCCGGTACATAATGAAATTCCAGCATATTATGCTGGAATCGCATAAGTAACAAAGTTCGAACTCCAGCATATTATGCTGGAATTTTTTCGAATTTTTAAGGGTGTTGTTCAAATTTTATTTTTTACATGAAAAAGTGACTAAATTTCGATTGCTTTAGAAAATATGACTAATTTTAAATTAACATTTGTAAATCAGGCTATTTCTTCTGCTCTTTTTTTCCAGATTAAGGCCATCAACATTTCTCATATGGTAAACAATTATGTGCTTATCTTTAATGATAAATGAAATCTTTTCAATATTTTTTGTCAGATTGACGTAATTACAGTTAAAAATTATAGACAATTGAAATTGTAGTTGATTTCTGCTCCTATGTCTTAATAAACTCCAAATACTGTTATATGCCTAAGTAATACTTATATATTTAAGCTAAGCTAATTAATATTTACTATAGAAGTACTTTTAGGGGTTGTTTCGTAATCCAGCCCTCGTTATCAATGAAGGAAAGACTTGTTAACTGTTGTAACTCTTGTTGGCTCAACTTGGCTTCCCATTGCACTCTTTTTGAAGTGCTTGATCCCATTCCTTTGCAACTTTCCTCAGCAAATGTTAATTGTTTCCTATATCATAAACAATAAAAAGAGCATTTTAATATCAAACACGAAAGAACTTGATGAATAAGAAAATAAGAAAATTGTTGGCCACATAGTATTCTAGCCATAGTTTTTTTCCTAAAATTTATGTCTCTGGTGAGTTTTATTGGAATAGTAGTTAGTGTTATATTTGGTTGAAAGGTGAAGGTTCTATAGTTGTATGTAAATCATATGATTACATTTTAAATTCAAATAAAGGGGTAGGTGCACAAACAGTCATTCTTAGAGTTGCTATTTAGAAATTAGCCAATACTTATTTTGTCCCGGAATTTTGATCTAAAAATCATAACTTCAAGACAATTCAGGATATGTTTGTCCAAAAATATTGAAGTGAAAAACTGAAATTCAGGGCGAAGTGGTTAATTCCTAAATAGCAACCCTTTAGTGTGGCTACGTGGTGTCATTTCTACTTAAATAAATGAGTATATGCTTTCCAAATAACCAAGTCTTTAGTACTAAAAGGTGTGGTGAGATGATTGAGATCTCTATATCCTTAATACCAGAAGCCTTGAATCCGTCGTATTCTTGGGAATGAAGAATCGTGTTAGCGAATCTAGATTAGTCTTATCAGTGAGTTCAGATAACCGGAGGGTTAAGAGTAAAATAAAAATTATATAACCTAAGTTGTGATAAATAGAACCATTTTACTATAAAGAAAGAAGAACTTACTCTTTGCCAACATAAACTCCAGCAGTCCAACCTTCAGGAGTGATGACATTTGACATATTGCAACCATAGAATATAACTCTTGCATAGTCTCTCCATGGCCTGCCCAAGAATGTTTGTCCACTTCCTATAACATTACAGTTTTTGAAAATAAAACCACTTTCATCTTTAGGGTTTGATCTTCCTTGTGCTGTTATGAACCCTGTCAATCCTTCTAAAGCTCTTGCATTTACTGATATAGTACAACTCTGCACATCAAAATAGAAAAGAATTAAAGATATATGCCTTCATAAGAAGAAATATGGATAAAAAGTGGAGTAGAAAACAATCCATACAACTTTTAAAACTGATATATTAGATTTTATTTTCTAATTATATATCTAAAAGATTGAAGAGATGGTATGGGCTTGGGTTTGAAAGTCAATGTAAGACGGTCTTTAGTGTTTATAACAACAACAACAACAATAGGGTTTGAGGAAGATAGTCATGTGTACGCAGATGTTACTCATACTTTGTGATGATAAAGAGTCAGTTTCTGTTTCCGATAAACTTTCGACTATCTTTAGGATTTACAAGAAAGTAGCTTTTAGAAGTCATTTCTCTATCTGAAGTCTATGATTTCAAATCCAATGGTTAATACAAGTCAACAGTGGACTAATTAATTATTATTTTTCTGACGGTAATGTTTTTTAAATAGTTTATGTTCATCTCAATTATATTATTTGATATTATTAATTACCTTCCACCATCACATATACCTAGTACTTCCGCAAAAGTGGATTAATTATTATCATGTGTTGAATAATTCATTCCATTTATATAATTAAAAAAATGTTTAGGGCTCGAGACAGCCATGCTTCTAGGCCACTGCATATGCACCTTTCTTAATATTCTTTTTATTTTATTAAAATGCACCCTTTTTTAGGTAGCTTTTTTCTAATTCCATGAAATAATTGCAATTAATAACATGAAATCAAATCTATTGATTAACAAGTCAAAATCCGAAAAAAAATATTTAAGAAAATGGTAAGTAATTTTTCACCTCATAAAGAGATTGACCATTACCAAAGATGAAATCAACAGCTCCTTCAATGGTGCAAAGCTTGAAATAATGCCTTCCTTGAACATCCCATAATGTGTCTTGTAATCCAAGAAATTCACACCTATAAAACACCGACTTGTCGCCGGAAATCATCGCCGCCACCGCCACCACCCTCGGATTATTGTTGCTTTTCGGAGGATAATTGTAAGAATTCTGATAAGTCAAACATACTTTTGTTAAAAAAATGTAAGAACTTGTGTTAAAGTCAATCATAAATTTGTTTAGAAGTATTAAGAAATTCCAGAGTGTTTGTTATGATGTGGGAAGTCATTTTCCGGGAACTATTTTTTTTTCTAAAAATGACTTAATGTTTAGAAAGCATTTTTCAGAAAAATGTTTTTCGGAAAAAATATCTAGGTTGATTGTAATATTAGCGAACCGAACAGTATTTTATAAATTATTTAAGTATTAAAGAATATTGATAATAACTTTTGAGTATTGGTTAAAGCATATGTATGAAATTAAGTGTTGGAGATAATTATGACTTCCACAAATCCATTGAGCAACCAAAGACCAGAAAATGAGTCATTGTTTGGAAAATATTTTCCAAAAACTGTTTTTCTGTAATACCAAACACTCCCTAAATTTACTCTTGTGAAAATTCTTTCTGTCTTTTTTTTTTTCACTTACTATAAAGGTTATGCTTTCCACAATTGTATTATCAGCTTCTGAAGTGAAAGTAGCATCTGTAGCAATTGAGTCATGAGCATCCCAAGTCACACTTGTTTTTCCTTGATCCCCTCCTTTAAGATAAATATATGGCTTTTCTCTAGGGATTTTCACTTGTTCCCTGCATGCAATATCACAATATCATACTAAAATAGTACATCAAATTTCATTAAAAATTTTGAGTTTAACTTGTATGAACTGATAATATACAATTTTTTTACGCTACCGTGTAGAATTTATCTACAATAACAAGCAAGTATACATAACAAGCTTTATGTGGGGTTATAGACTAATAGTGTAAAGATTTTATATATACGCTTTGGAGCAACAGTAAAGTTGTATCCATGTGACGTTCAAGCTTGGGGAGAAGCTATGTATGACTAAAGATGGTCAATTGAACGCCCTTCGCCGAAAAATTTGAACATCCTTATTGAATTTTCTGGCTTCGCCACTGGTTCAAGCTAGTCGTAGAACCAACCACTAATACTAGCACTAAGGTAGGCTGTCTACGTCACACCCCTTTGGGGTGCGGCCCTTCCCCTGTCCCTGCGTGAACGCGGGATGTTTTATGCACCCGCTATATTGTCGGTGCATGTAACTTAAATCTAAAAAGAGTGTATATAAATCAAGATAGTAAAGAGATACCTATATTGTCCAGCTTTGATGTTAATACAGATCCAATTTTGGTTATTTTGAGGGACAGAATCAATGGCTGATTGGATAGTTTTGAACTGGCCATGTCCAGATGGATCCACATACACTGTTGTGTACTTCATCTTTTGCTGTTTCCACTGAAAATCACTAATATATCTTGCATTTCCTAGTTCAACAAACCCCATGAAGAAAAAAACAAGAGTTTTACAGAAAAAAGAAGCCATATTTTCAAGAAAATATCAGTGAAACGGAAAGGAATTAGATACTACTCAAAGCTGAATAACAAGTTAAAATCACCACTTAAATACAACTCTCTATACTAGGGAGTTATATTCCTTTTCTTGGAGAGACTTAGAAGGTAAAAAAATAAAAAGCGACCAAGTAAAGAATTTTTCTCACAGAAAATAATTGAAATGATTTGCAGAATCTGTTACCTTCCATTTTTATTTCATTTTCTTATTTTTTAAAGAATCCATGTTTTATTTCTCAAGTACTTTAATTACTAGAACATTTTTATTGACAATTTAGATTTGACTTTAGAGTCTAACAATGGAAACTTATAAGGAAAAAGTGAAACGTGGAGAAACAATAATGTTAGAAACTAAAAATGAATTTCCTTAAAAATGTATAAAAGTAAAGTATGGGCGTTATAAATGGGTTGTTTGGTCTGGCTATTAACGTGAAAAAAGGTTCTCATGCACTGTAAGTGGCTTTGATCTGAGCTTGCGCACAAGATTAGCCTTTTATCAACTTTTGTTCTCTAATTCTTTTCAGTTTAAATTACATTCAACAATTTAAAAAGATAATCTCCTTCTGTCCCATATATTTTACATTATTATTTGAGAAGTCAGCAATTATTTCACTGACTATGATTATTCAAATAATTCTTAAACATCAACGTTTTGACTCTTAGTAAAGCAGTTTTTAACTATATCAATTTTGTTTTAGAATGAGTAAAGAATAATGGTCAGAAAATTTGATCCTCATATTTCGAGTTCCATCACGTGCAACACTTTATATGCTATTTAGTGTGACAGTATGGTCAGTGTAAATAAACAGAGTATGCCAATATACTTATTACTCCGGATAAAAAAAAAATTATTCATCCATATTATCCACTAAAAAATGAATTATATAATGACCCATAAAATGGATAACTAACTAATGGGTTTTAACGTTTATATCTGCAAAGACTCAAATTGGGAATTACTTAAGTTTGGAAGACTAAAAACTCCCCCAAAAGTGCTCATATTCAAAAAGCCATGGCTAATATGAATATCCATATTATCCGCTGGTTAACTCATTTTCTATCCGTATTAAATATAGGTCGGGTCGGGTAATTTATCCATTTATGAATTACCCGTTTTCAACCAACCCGTATCCGACCTGACCCGACCCGCATGTTTGCACCCCTATGCACAGCCATTCCAATCAAAGCATAAAAAATCAGAACTTAAATCAACAGGTACAAACAGAAGAGGAACTAGAGGAGATCTGCATCATTAAAAGCATGAAATTTGATTTCATCACCAAATACAATGAAAGACAGTATACTGCTAAACCGAAAATAAATAAACCACTCAGGAGCAAAATGTAACTAAAAAGAAGGTAAGATTTAAGTAAATTATCAATCTTCAACAAAATTATACTTTAAATGGCTATGTCCCACTTCAATACTTGATAGGAGCAATAACAGCAAGTTGAGGTCCAAGCTTCTCCTCAGCAGCTTTCTCAGCCCTAACTCTAAGTTTTGCCAACTGCTTTCTCCTCTCATATGTTACCTGAGCTCTCTCCTTTCTCTTGTTCTCAAGATCCTGTTGTAATCATAATTTCAAGGGAGAAGAAATAAGCAACTGTGCGAAGATCATGGAAATGGCCACTGAAGAAAAATTTGATGATGAAACAGAAAACTAAGACTCTTATTCATAAACGGCATACTTCAAGCATGTAAGCTTGACATAAACGAATTGCAGAAACAGTAAACCGACTTTTGAAGCTAGTGCGCTCATAATTATAAGAATAAGGGCTACGCAGAAAAGCCGGAATCATGGAAAAGTTTCTTACTGACTGAAAACGTTAACCTGATGTTGCTACAAGATTCTTAAACGAAATAGTCAACTATTACCACATCTTGCTCCTTTATATGCAAGTAAAATATCTCCAAACTAGCAAGAGAAGACAGGAGGAGGAGGGGGTATGAAAAGGGCTAAGAATAAGAAACTTACCCTGATAGTATCATAATGGTTCCATCCAACCTCTGATGAAAGCTTGCCCAAAAGACAGTACTTATGTCCAGCTTGGAGCCTCAATACCCTAGTAACAAAGAAGGCAAAATTTTCAGTGTCACAAGAATGAAGATACAAGAATATATAAATTATATCTGCAGCTAACAACTCACTTGAGAGCATCAGGAATGACCATCCTCTTAATCTTGTCATATGGGGGTGGGACACCCTCATAAACCTTCAAACGGGCAAGTGCAGCTGCCCCACGCTTGGTCTTGTGAGGAATCATCCTAACGTAAAATAAACAGACATAATCAGGCAAAACGAGATACACGACAAGGGCTTGAAATATGTACCACAACCATTGAATATATATGAATGCAGAAACAATTCATAATAGTTCTAAAGGGACTACTAAACTATAATACCCATCAATCAAACAGGAAAACAGAAAATAGCATATCAGACCAAGCGACTCATGTCAATTAAAAATGATATGAAATACATATTGCACCACTTAGACAGACATGCAGATTTAATGCTCAACACACATTCAGTAAATGCTCCTCCAAGTTAATACTACTATATTGTTTCTTTGGGGCTTCGAAACTCAGAGATAATAGGCTCATCCCTCTACCCTTCTCAACATTAATACTCGGATGGCGCAGGGCTTAAGCTATATCACAAGTCTCTCAACCTTTGACACTTGAACTAATAGGCAGATATTCAGTAAATACAGTTGTGATGAAGTCCTTGGGTAAATAACAACAGGAACATTGACTTCATTGTTATACATACACCAGCTAAGATGTTACTACCATGAAATTGATAGGGCCTAGCTCTGTCATGGCAGAAGCGCTTTAGATTATTCAAATATTATGCCCTCCTTTCCACAATAAGTGATATTCTAGCCTTTCAAATTTGATCCAAAATAAGTGATTTTTTTAAAAAACAAAGAAGGCATAACCTTTTCTTAAAATTAATATAGCCTTATCTAGTAAATGATTTGAACATATTTCTAAAAATTCTTTCAATACTTCTTTACCTTTCCTAGATTGGGGTAATTTGATCAAATAACCCTCATAATTAGTGTTTTTCATTAGTCTTCCGGTCCTACATAAGTGATTATTAAGGGTTTGACACACCCATTAAGAAATCACTTATATTAATGTTATTAAATGATTTCTTAATGAGTATTTCAAACCCATAAAAATCACTTATACAGAAGCGGAGATAGTAATTAATAACATTAATTTTGGTAAAGAGAGTATTGGAAGACTTCTTAGATATTTGTTCAATCATTAAGTTATTTTGGAAAATATTAATACCTTCTTGAATTTTAAAAAAAAATCACATATTCTAGAAAAAATTAAAAAGGCTAAAAATCATTTATGCAGGACCGGAGGGAGTAGTTTCCTAATTCCTTAATGGGTTATGGATGTGCCAAAACCTTAAAAATCACTTATTTGTGGAGTGAAGGGAGGGCTACATTGATAATATAAAAAAGTATATCTACAACTGCAACAAGTATGCCTTAACCCCAAACGAATTGAGGTTAGCTTCTTTTGGCACCTATATTCCAACACTGAATATTCAGCCTTTTAGTATAAACTCAAGGTTCTCTAACACAACACTATACTTCAATATTCCCTGAAATGAACCTCGTACTACAACTAGTAGCTACGACATCACAAAAAGAAGGAATAACATGTACTTCATCTAAAATAAGAATTTAAGTTATATATACTGTGATTGTAAAGATTTTTTTACAATGTTAGTGAAATTTAATCTACGATAGCAAATTTAGTTACCATTTTTACAAAATTACGAATTAATGTTTATCAAGAGATTTACTTTTAATTACCTAATAATTGACCTAATTGCTTAAGTATTATTTAAAATATCATTACATAGAGCTTAAATTCCTAAAATAAAACCATGAAAAACACTATCAGCAAAGGATTTAAGTTATATACACTAATGGTGCAATGATTGACTTTTAATCTTTGATACACGTTTACCGGATTATCACTTAATGTTTATCAAGAGATTTACTGTAATTACCTATGTGTAAATATTTCTAAAACCGTCAATGCATAGAATTTAAAATGGGTACTTTCTAAACAATTTAGCAACATAATAGGCTCTTTTAAAGAAAGGTACAACAAGAAGAAAGAAAGCATACCCAGGATGGTATGCCAAAGGATTTTAGAAGGAGCACAAAAATGATGGGACCATGAGAGGGTTTAGTTTTCATTCTTTTAATATAAGTCCACCAGAGAGGCATATCAACCACAACTCCCTGTCCATTCAACAATTCCTAGCCAATATTGAGGCTAGCCTACTCAGCATGTGGTGCCGCGCATCAACCATTAAGAGGGTTATTTGATTACATTAAATTAATATACTCATAAGAAAATGTAAAGAAGTATCGAAAGACTTCTTAGAAATTTGTTCAAAATATTTACTAGATAAGAGTAAATTTGGAGAATTAACGTTTTCTCCTAAATTTACCCTGATCTCTAACAATGAACTGAACAAATTTCTAAAAAGTTTTTCAATATTTCTTTACAATTTCCTATGAGTAGATTAGGATAATTTAGCTAAATAGATTTCTTAACTAATACTATTACAACAACTACTACTACTAACTTCTTTCATTAATTAATATATTAATTGATTTTATTAATGGGTGCACCAAAACCTTAAAAATCACTTATTACGGACCAGATGGAGTACTATATTGTTCATATAAAAAAGTATATCTACAACTGTAACATATATGGCTTAAATCCAAGCTAATTGGATCAACTGCAACAGCTATGCCTTAAATCCAAGCTAGCTGGATTCAGTGACATTATGTCAATTAAGCTTCTTTTGTCACCTGCTTCATTCCAATACTCAATATTTGGCCTTTTTAGTATAAATTCAAGGTTCTCTAACACGAGAAATACTACATTATTCCCCTTCAAAAAATCTCTTCTTACAACCAGTAGCATACACATACTTCATCTAAAACAAGGATTTAAAGTTATAAATACTAACAATGTAAAGATACTATCTGTTATAATTTTTATCAACTTTATATGACATTAGCTACCATTTTCACCAAATTACGAATCAACACTTATCAAGAGATTGATCATGTAAAAAACTTTTACACTATCAACATATGGAACTTAAAATGGGTACAATCTAAACAATGTATCAACATAATAGCTATTAAAAAAAGGTACAAAGATTACCCACGAATGGTACGCCAAAGGATTTTAGAAGGAGCACGAAAATGGATGGGACCATGAGAGGGTTTAGTGTTCATTCTTTTACGAAGGAACCTAAGGTACTTCATTTTCTGCCTCACAAGTCCACCGGAGAGGCATATCTCTTCGCACCTAACAACCACAACTCTCTGTCCATTGAGTAGCTCTTTGGCTAAGATTGAGGCTAACCTTCCTAGCATATGGTGGCGTGCATCCACCACCGTCCTCTTTGCGCAGATTCCTGAACCTGATACCATCTTCTCTCTCTCTCTCACACACACACACAGTCGCCCCCTCTCTCTCTGTGTTAAACCTAGGTGCTGCTGTGAAGAAATGGGGGAAAAGCTAGCCTTTTGAGGGGGTGCGGATTGGGTCTAAATGGGCCGTGAGTCAGTTCGTGCTTCGGGTTTTTGTTTCTGGCCCATTAGAATCGGAATTGGATGATCATCAATAGGCTCATAAATTGGGGTAAATTTAACAAATAACCACTTTTCATAGGGGGGAAAAATCAGAAATAGCCATATTTACAACTGGTAATTGAAAAATAGCCATAGTTTCAAAAGTAATCGAAATTTAGCCAATTTTTCATGTACATATATAATCTGAACAAAAACATCCGGAAAAATTCCAGCATAATATACTGGAGTTCGAATTTTTTACATATGAGATTCCAGTATAATATATTAGAATTTTATAATGTGGTGGAGTTCCAACATAATATGCTGGAAGTTTATACGCAGGACCTCCATAATTCAGCATATTATCTTAGAAGTTTCTGTGTTTCGGCAAAACAGTGACTATTTTTCAATGACTTTACAAATGCTAGCTATTTTTCGATTAGCGATCCGAAAACTGATTAGGCCGTGCTACTTTCACCTTTTCAGCTTGTGTAGGTATTGTTGAATTTGGTCTGTCAAATTTAGAACTCTGTGATAGAGACTATATTTTTAAAACAAGACCGAAAAGTGACCAATGGGTGCTATTCCAAACTCCTGTTGAGAATTATATATAGTAAAGATATTTTAGAAGTATTATCTTGTCCCTCATTACTTATAATACCACAATTAAGGACAATATAAATATTTAAAAGTTTTTCTTAATTGTATAAAACATAGTATGAGTTAGTTATAAAATATTTGAAGCGTATATAAATGAAAAGAAGATTGGTGCATTTATACTGATCTTTGGATATGTGCTTCATGTGTGTATCTCGTGTCAATTAAACAAAATTCAAATAAGAACATAATATATCAAAAAAAACTCATATATGCCTAGTATTTATATCAAATTAATAGATACATAATAGTATGTGTTTGTAAATAGACTTCTCTCCCTTAATCATTGTTAATTAATATATATTTTCACCTTATTATTACCAAACTATGATAAACTGATATAGTTTAATATGAATATTTTTATCTACTGCAAGCCACGAAACAGCATCTAAGTTTGCAGATACTCTATTACGAATATAGCCAAACAGTGCAATGCTAATTTTAATACTCAAGACTTAATTATTTCAGCTATTCATTTTGACCCCATTACACATCACCTTTTCTGGTCCATGCATTATGACAAAATAGTAATTATCACTTGAATAGAACATAACATTAAAGTAAATGGACATATCATTTTCACGGTACAAAAAGAAATAATTATTAAATAGTAGTACTAAATAATACTTTTTTATTTGAATAATTATGCCACAGTTTCAGTTTTTCTTTCTATATAGTAATTGAAGAAATAACACTCGAAACAGAAGAGAAAGGAAAGATTGAAGGGAAACGAAGTTATGGGAGCTAATAAGAATGTTTTGAAAACATATCGTGAAGTTTCTTTGCATAATTCTCCAGATGATTGTTGGGTAATTATCAATGCTAAGGTAAGTAGAGAACTTTCACTTTTTTACCCTTTCTAATTCCCCCTTGGGTCTAATAAAAATTTTCCATTTTGTAGCGAAAAAAACTAGGTTAAATTATACTCTCTCTATTTCAAATTATATATCTTATTGGAGCAGCCCGATGTATAAAGTATCACGTATTCACGCAGGATTCGGGGAAGGATCGCACCCCAAGAGGGTGTGATGTAGACAGTCTATCCTAATGCAAATATTAGTGGCTGCTTCCACGGCTCGAACTCGTGACTTATAAGTCACACGGAGACAACTTTGTCGTTGCTCTAAGGCTCCCTTCTATATGGCTTATTATAGCAAAATTCTGATATGATTACATTTTTTATAATAAATTTGTATGTTCGGAAATCACGTAAAAGTGTTATGATATGCAGCTATACATTTTGAAATGTTTTACTATGGATATAACTAAAGTAATTTGATTAGTGGAATAGCAAATTAAATAAGATATCTAGCTTAGAACATAGTGAAATGTATATTTTTATGTATCTTTCTAGGAGAGTTAATTTGTAAGGGGTAGCATGATTTACTTAAAGGAGCCAACCAAAACTAATTGTTGTTTAAAAGGCCAGTTGTGAAACTTGATATGCATAAAAAATTACTCCTAGTACTATTTTACTATACTAGTTTTAGGGTATGCGCATGTACCTTATCTCAATGAGTAACCTCTTTTTTGAATATTAAAGTCTTTCTTTGAGTCATAAAATAAAAGGCATAAATTTTGAGGAGGACGAATATTGATTATATATGAAGAAGATTGATTATATATCACTAACTCAATAAATGAAGAAACTGTATAATAGAACTCCTCAATTATTAGTTATTATCCTACTGTGGTTGTATGATGGTTTTTGTAGGAATATTTTATGAATATTATTGTTATTTATACCTACTGAAAATTAATAACATAAAGATGCTTTTATCATGATTTTTAAAAATTTATGAAGTAATATAAATTGAAAAAATGACTCTATTAGTCTTCTAGAAATTAAAGAATAACGTAGTTAGCCTACGATTCAGGGAAAAAATGGTAAGTGACAACATAAATTCTGAAAAGACTAATATTGAGTTAATATTTTTTAAAAGAAGTAACTTAATTTATATAAAATATAATAAGTTGTCATTAGTTAGAATATATTCTGTCTTCAACTGTTCCATCCTTATTGCTTTAAGTTTTCTCTTGGCCAATTTAAAGTTACTATACTATAAATGATTTTACTTTATTTTTATATCCTAAGAGTTTTGTCTACTTAAAAAAAAATTATTGTGCGATAATTAGTTTAAAAAAGAATTGAATCTTTTGCTATAGTTAATTTTTAGAATGTAATCGTTTTTTCGTAATTCTAAAGGAAATAGTGTATTTTTCTGCAAATTCTAAGTATTAGTTCATTCTGAGTTTCGATTGTGCAATAAAAATTCTATTCTTAAAGGGTGAAAATTTATCACATTTTACTTTGGATCTTTGTATTTGAAGAATCATTATTATTGACTATTGCTAATCACCTCTATCTCTTATAAGTTTTGCTAGTTTTTTGTTCTAATTCAATATCGTTTTTTAATATTATAAAAATGACAAATAAATAATATTATTTGCGTAGGAAAGTAGTTCAACTATAATAGTATAGAAATTAGAAATTATCATTAAAAATTCATCATTGATTAATACCGCTATGTTTAACTATTTATCTTTAAATTTATCATTAATTAACATTGTGACGTTTAACTATTTATCTTTCTATATTGCACTTATTTAGACTTCAAATAGTAACTGATTTATGATACAAAGAAAATAGCACATTCACAATTCCATCTGCTTTATTTAATTTCAAGAGTATTTTGACAAGTAATACATTGTTTTTTCTAATTTTAAAATACTAAACATTATAAATACTAACATGGAAGGTATTATAGTTATCTAAGGTAAACTCTTAATTATTTAGATTTGTGATAATGAACGAATAATGTTAAAAGGATTCTAAGAGCCCTTAGTATTTAATTTTTACTATTACTCCTAGTTTATAAGGTAAAATCTTAATTGATTTTAAAATTCTTGATGTTAGAACACTATTATTCTAATAAATATAGATTTAGTAAATAAAATTTTATGTGATTAAAAAGTCTTATTTGTTAGGAAAGTAACTGAATAACAATTTTGTTTAGCATAAAATCCGATTTAATGAATATAAAAGGTGACGATATACTTTTAATTGGTAAGAATAATTCTTCAATGCTCAAAAACTTAGTAAAAACAATTCTATGCAGTGTTATTATGATTTATTTGAATAAAATAAAAATTTAAACAAATAGAACACATGAAGAGTTCAAGTTATAATTGATATTGGCCAAACAAAATCAAATACTCTTGGTAGAAAGGATATTTGAAACGTTAATATATTTTCGACTTCTTTTATTGTTTTTTTTGGTATCATAATTACAGTGAATCACTTATATAAGGTAAACTCTCCATTGATTTTTAAATTTCTTTTTTTTTCATAGTTTAAATAAGAAGAGATATAATAAATAGAATTTTAGTTGATGTAAAAGTCCTAAATATTAGGAAGATAAGTAAAATTACAAATTTATTCAATGTAAACTTTATTTTTAAAGGGTAGAAAAGGCAAACGACATTTCGCTAAGCGCCTTCATGATTTTAATATAGTATAGATATATACGCGCTTTGCGCATGTTTTACATGTCAGTGAATAAATAATTTTTAAAAAATAAGATAAATATTAAAAAAATTAAATTATAAAATAAAATACATATTTAGTGTTTGCAAACTCCGAGGAAATTTTACTAATTTAGAATATATTTTTATTTATATTGTGCATAATTTTTGAAGGTTGAAATAATTATTGACTATAGTCGTCAATATTATACAAACAAATCAATAAATAAAACCTTAATTGGTTTTAAGGCTCTAAATAATAAAGATATTATAATTAAAAAATAGACTACACTTTAATGGCATAAGTATATTTTCAAGAAAATAATTGTATAAGATAATGTATATACAATAGTTTAATTATTTAATTTGAGAAAAAAATGTATAAGATAATGTATATACAATAGTTTAATTATTTAATTTGAGAAAAAATGTATATTGCATGGAACTTTGAAATGCTTTACAAAAATATATGTACATTCCTAATGTGTATGTACTTGCAAAAAATAAAGTATGGAGGAAAAGAGCTGAAAAGAGCAAAACCTCTTTTCCAAAATTATTTGATTTATATAAGATAAATTTTAATTGATTTTTATATCCTCAATATTATGATTTATTTCCTATGTAGTAATTGAAGTAAGAAAAACTTTAATAAGAAATTTTTTATTTAATTTCAAAATGCAAAATATTAGAAAAATAATAAAATGACTATTTTATCCAATATAAACTCTATTTTAAGAGTGTTAAAGAGACGAATAATATTTCTCTAAGGTATTGGATTTTAACTAATTAGTTAATTCACACATTTAATTATTTATTCTCAACATTAAGAAAAATATTTTCTTATTAATTCAAATTTGTAATATTAGTTCATCCCAAATTTTAAATTGTTTAACTACATCTACACTAATGTTTAATTGTAACTATATTTTTATCTAATAAGAATTGTATGTTCAAAAGATAGAAAAATCGGTTTGAGGTTCACTTGAAAATTTTTAGGTTAGTTTAAAGTCCTAATGTTAGAAAGGTAATTATTATATTCTTTTCAATGTAATCTATTTTAAACTACAAAAAATCAACCAACATTTGGTTATATTAAATTCTAAAATTAATTATTTCTTTAACCATTTTATTAGAGTGTAAAAATTCAAAATCTGAATATATTAGAGTAAACACCAAATTGATAAGAATAATACAACGAAAAATAAAAACCTTGAGTCACAATGTCACCATTTATATACGTTTGGGAAACTTTAATTAGGGTGTGATAATAATCCTAAATATTAGGATCTCTTATCTAGTTTAATAAGGAAAGATTTAGCAATAAAATATTTAATTTATTTTAAAGTTTTAAATATTAAAAAGATAATATAAATTACAATTATGTCCAATGTGAAATATAGTTTTAAGGGGTAAAAAAGGCGAACGATATTTCGCTAAGGGCCTTCGTGCTTTTAATATAGTATAGATAAGTCAAAGACCGGGCATCAATAGACTATAAAAAGTGGAATATATTTTAGTATCTTGTAAGTTTAAGAAACTAAGAGGCCAAGTTACTACTTAGTGAAAACTATACTTTATAATAATAGTCGCTCCCAAAAATAATAACCGACAAATATATATATATATATTGTGTATTATTAATATATAATATATGTATATTGACTAAAGAATATAATTATTTTTTATCGAACGGCCAATTACATAACTTCCCCTATTACCTACGCAGGCATATAATGTGACGAACTTCCTGAATGATCATCCTGNATATATATATATATGAGACCGGGCATTTTATTTGATACGGTGTGGGGGGAGGCGTTTTATAAAAACGGTTGTAAAAAGTATTAGGTGGATCAAAACAAGTTACATAAAAATGCATCCGATAAATAACTCGGCTTGTTTAAAGTTTGCTCAAATCATTGAAGTTAAATATATGTTGCATATATAATATCATAACTCAACGTGCACCACTTAATATTCCTTTTTAAACAATTATTGCTACAAATTGGATTACAATTACTCTATGCATTTATTTCAACCTATATTATTGTAAGCTAAAAGAAATGAGTAACTAATTAAGTGCTTTAGTTTAGGATTTCAAATAGTGAGTTGAGATTAATTTGTTTAACTTATTATGGGTAATTATGTATTTATATGTTATATGAGTTGACAATGTGAAATCTTTTACATTATCCAATAACTATAATAATAATATACCCAGTGTGATCTCATAAGTGGGGCATAAGAATGGTGAAGTGTACACAGATTGTACCCTTGCCTTGTGTAAGATAGAGAGGTTATTTTCGCCGGACCTTCGGCATGAAATCTTTTACATTATCCATGTACAAAAATTAAACTATATTCATATATACCCTGACAATCATGTTTCTATATTTTATGCAATTTTCATTTTCTAAGTTATAAATTCATTGTACAATTTTCTCTCTTTTCGCTCCCGTCTGGCCCTAAAATTTGTGAGCTTTTTTTCAAATTTTATATTCAAATATCTGTTGTTTATAAATTTTAACTCCTTTTGGCAGATTTAGAAAACAAAATCTTCAAATCCCAAAAACAGTTCTAGAGTATTTTTTGACATTTTCTACTCACAAAGTTCAAATTCTTTTCAAGTAAAATGTATGTTCAAACACAATTTTAGCGTTCAAAAATTATTTTTAATCCCATCTTTAAAAAAAATATTTTTCAAGTTTCAATGAAATCTATGTCCAAACGCTAGCTTCATGTTTGTTCTTTTCTATA